ACTTAAAAAACATGGCAAGAAAGGTTGTAAAATGAGGCAAAACTCACTTTAAAAATTTTTTTCCTGGCAACATAAATTTTGGGCTCAATTGTGTCCGTAAGTCGAGGACTACCTGTAGATATTCTTGTCCCAAATCTCTGTCATATGCCCATTAATTATACTATGTTTCCTGGTTAAGAGATAGAGCGAGCAATTTCTGTATTAAATGGAAACAGGATGTACGCCAGGCATTTTTTTTTACAAAAAAAAAAAGCTACTTTGCAGTTGAGAATTGTTAGATGTGAAAAGTGTATGTATGTGTGCGTGCATGTGTATGCACTCGTGCACAGAATAATTTAGAAGAATTCAGCAGATCTGAAATTACATTAAAAAGCAATTAAAATGCAGTCGTAAGCTGCTTCTTCCTCAGATTGTACATCCCATTAATTAGTCATCACAATGCATACCTTCTCATTAGTCATATTTTAACCTTGCAGTGAATAAACTTCCAATTAAACACAGCAATTTTTTGTCAAAGAGGGTTTTATCCTAAAAAAAAAAAGTATGTATAAATAGGCTCCATTAAGCGGCTAGTTTGAAAACGAGCAATTGCATTTTCATTGTTTTAATGAATATTAATAGGTATAATCAGCTGAAGCAGCATTGTCAAGTTCCGTGCCTGACTTCCTATACTGGCCCAGACCAGATTTCTGCTGACTTATACTTCCCTAAAACCAAAATCCCATATTCAGTACAACTTAATTCTAAATATTTATATATTAATGCTATCTTATCTTATCTTAAGCATATATCTTAAGTTATAATTTTTTTTAATTTTTCCTGTTATTTTGCAAAACATTAGCCATGGTGGATTTGTTCCTTTATTAAGCAGTTCTTGTTGTATTTTTAATCTGTATTTGTCTCCAGATGTATCCTGACAGCATATATAATCAGATCTTTCCTACTCTAATTATCTTTGAAATAGAAAACATTAGATAGGATGATATTAGTGGTGAAAAGATTGAATTTATCCATCCTGAAGTTTATTCACTGCAGTGTTGCTACCTCTCACTTGATAGTAAAATAGACTCTGTCTATTACTAAATAGATAGTAAAATAGACTTACAGTAAAATGTAAATGTGAAAAGTGTAAAAATAGAAGGTGTTTTACACTCCTTTTTAACATTGCCCAAGACATTTAATATTCTTTTTTTTTTTATAATATACCCATTTGTTCACAATTGGGTAAATATAAGTCCTTGGCTTTACATTCATTGATATTAAAGGAATATTTTTCAGTAAGCTGAGATGTTCATTTTTGCAACTGGTATGTATTTCCCTGTGTCTCTTTCATGTTTTCAAATACAAGGATCACATCTCGCTCATCATTCTAGCTTCAAATTTTACCTTCCTAGTTAGTAGGTAATTATTTTTCTAGTACCTTTTATTTGACTAGATTATGTACCCAGAAGGAGAATATGTGATCTTTATGGTGAGTAGATAAGTAGCGAGTGATGAATGTGTTTGAGTGCTGTGAACAGAAGTATTTCTATATTTGCATCAACAAGTGCACTTTTTGTAAGAAAGCAAATGTGCTTTCTCAACATCAGAATATAACTACATTTTACACGTAGTGTCATCTGTTAGCCACCACTAGCCTGCGTTAGCCACAAAGCTGGATGAATGACTCTGGGCCACTCAGTCACCTTTGAAAAATGTTGTCAAGAAAACCCACATGTAATTGCCAGTTAAGACTGTCTGAAAAAGGAGAAAAATCTTCCCTATAATCAATAAAAATTGAGGAAATACAATCCTATTATCTGTTCAGTATGCTGTGCTGACTCTTATCCTACTGATTTGTACCATGAATATACAGACAATTTGATAATGTGATGTGATGTGCCCTGGTTTATTAAATCTCTAGAAAATACTTTTTGTCTAATTAATGTACAGAACTTTTGACATAAGATATGATTATGACTTCAGCTAAGAAGGCTAATGAAGGAATGATAAAAGCAAAGAAACAAGTGTCTTATCACTTTGAATCAGATCTAATCTACAATTTTCAAAAGAATTTTTCAGTTCATTAAAATGTCATCACATCTTTGAAAGGACTGATTTTTATAATATTTTGCAGACATTAATTATAGGAACTACGAATATGCATGCCACTGTGAAATACAGGTTCTTTTTTATACTGGGTTCATTTTGTTTCTACGTTTTATAGTTTTCTGCATACATTTTGTTTTCCCCTAGAAATATATGAACATCTACTAGTTGTTTGGCTTATCTGCCTATTTAGTAATTAAATGTGGACTCCTATCATTTTGCTTATTTAAACACTCTTTGAGCACTTTATGTGAATTTAAACAAAATACAAAATATAAAATGTAACTTTTCAAGTTGATGCAATTAAAATTAAAATAATCATTAAAGTCAATCAAAACTTGGCAAGAGATATGTGTTTTTCTATTCTCCTGAATACTGAGAATAAATAGTCAAGAATATCTCCCTGAAGAGAACATGGCATAATAAAAGACTAATACAGGAGAATGCTTTCTCTTGCCTACCTTTGGCAGTAGAAGCATCTTGCAAAATGGCTGCTGCATTTTACATGGCACACACTTGAGACAGTTTTTATAGCAATTGAAAATTTCATAGCAACAGTCAAATCAAGCTGTAAGTAAATCATGGGTAAACATCACCTAGGATTTGACTCAGGAAAGGTTTCAGGAGTCCACTAGTCATAATACTCAATAACCTACATCAGGGGTGTCAAACCCATGTCGACATATCATGACTTTTTTCCTCTTTGCTAAACTGGGTGTGGCCATGGTGTGACACATCTGGCCCATGGGCCACGAGTTTGACAGTCCTGACCTACATGCATCACTCTCTGGGCACTCCTTATGCAAAGACCAAAGCCTCCAAAGACCTACCCTCATTAAACAACCAAGGAAGATGTCATAATTAATAATATCAGAAGCTGCTAAGAGGAGGACCAGACAGTTGTATCTCCCTATTTAATTTCTAATGTAGGTCACTCACAAAGGTGGCCATTGAGGTTTCTATATAATATTATGAAACATTGATTGGAATTGATCTAAATAATTAGTTTAATCCAAATGCATTTGAAACCTAAGAACCACCACTTTCCTGATAAATACAGCTAAGAACGAAATATTTGAAACTGATCTACAATTTCATAAATCTTTTGGGTCAAGGAAGATCTGCTTTGGTAAAATTCTTACAATTTCTTTGTCCCCTGCTCAAGGAAGCCTCATCTTCTTTAAACACAGAGCCAGTCAGCTTGGCCAATTTAAACCGTCAGGCACAAACAGCTAGTGGCCATGATCTCACCAGTTACCTTCTCCACATCCTTGAGATTAGAAATTGAATAACATCCACATGAACAGGACAAGCAGTTTATCCCTGTATGATGCCTGAAATAGTGTCCATCTTCAGGTGAATCTGATCAATTTTGCAAAGAGCAATGTGAGCCTCCAACTGAACTGTTCCAATTGAAGTTCCTGTTGAAGGAGATGCAACACAGTACAAAAAAGCATTGCTGGAGGAAGAAGCCATCTTTGCTTCAAAAATGGACTCTGTTCTAATTCTTCCTGAGAATTCTACCTTCTACCTACATTTCTGGTCCTATGCAGTTCATTTCTCTCAGCCCCCCTAGTAAGCCAAGCTGATTTAACACTGGGGGAGGGAACAAAACACTTTGGGCCATCTCTCTATTGCAGAGTTTGTCCAAGACTTCATCAATCATTCTATTCTTCCTTTTCAGCCCTGAAGTGCAGGAAATGTTGTCTTTTAATGTAGGTACTTAGAATAAGAATTTTGTTGTTATTTTAGGGACCTCACTGATCAATGATCTCTCCATCTACATTGGTGGAAACTAGTCTCAAATTGGAATTGAGAGTCTCTAATCTGTTGGTTCTTGGTGTTGTTTTCTTACAAACTGTTCATTTCAGCTGATATATCTTTTTTTAAATAAATAGAGTCCTACCAAAGAACAAAAGCAGATGTGCAGCCTGTACAATTACTGTGTATCCATATAAAATGTGATAGGAAAAAAATAAAATCCAAAGCATTGTATTGTTAAACAAGACAAGCTCAATTTGCAGTAAAGAGCATCTTACAAAATTTGTTTTCTCTCTTCAGTGATGAAATCGAAATAAAATAACTAGATCTTACACAAAAAAAAAACATTTCCACCGGCACGATTAACAAAAGAACTTGTGAAAAAAGCACCAGGTTTTTAGACAATAAAATATTGTCACTGGCTCCCAGGACTTTTTAATTTCCTCCTCCCCTTTTCTGTCTCCAATACTTCCTTCATTATTTAAGGACTATAGATATCCTTGACTTATGACCAAAATTGAGCCCAAAATTTATGTTACTAAGCAAAAATATTGTTAAGTGAATTTTGATCCATTTTCCAACTTTTCTTGCCATATTTGTGAAGTGAATCACTGTAGCTGTTAAATGAGTAACACTGATGTTAAGTGAATCTGGATTTCTCATTGACTTTGCTCGTCAGAAGTTCACAAAAGGTGATTACATGATTCCACGCCATTGCAATCGTCATAAATATGAACCAGTTGTCAAGCATCCAAATGTAAATCATGTGACCATGGGGATGCTGCAATGGTCATAAATGTGAAAAAATGGTCATAAGTCACTTTTTTCACTAAATGAAGTGTTGTAAGTCAATGATTATCTGTATAAGTCTTATTCCAGCACTCTGAAGCACCTTTGACCCTTACATTCTGAAATGCTGCACCACTTATGAATATTATCAAGAGTATTATCTTTTCAGAAACTATTGCTGCCATATCTGATATTTTTAAGAACAGCGTTCTGTAATGCACTGTCATCCCAAATTGTCTGGGCATTCTTTGCAACACAAACATTCTACAACATAAGATGAGAACCCCTAGCTTTATCCATTGGGCAAGTTTTGCTGCTTTGTCTTCTTCCAGGTGTCTGATTGTCTTCATTTTTGTTCTTAGTTGGACGCTGACAAAGATGAGGAAGAAGTCTTTCGTAACATAAGCCTGGCTGTTGACAATAAGCTATTTCCCACTCAAGAACCAGGGCCAAGTGAGTATTAAATAATGTGTATTAATGTTTGTTTGTTTATTTATTTATTTCTTGAAAAAAATTATATGACCATCCAACACACACCAACACACCCATGGTGATTCCATCCAGCTTAAAGAAATAACACACTCACACACCCAAATACAACATCCAATAAACCCACACACCCTTGGTGACAGTGATCAAACAAACCACTTGATAGGCTCAGTGTCACCCTGGGGTTTTCCGGGTTCTCTGACAAAACCATTTTTTCAGGGCCTTTTGAAAGAGTATCAGAATAGGAGCCAATCTTATCTGCATGGGGATGATGTTCCACAGGGGAAGCCATCATGGAGAAGACCCTTCTTCTTGGTCCCATTAGATGGACCTTCTTAAGAGAGGAGACTTGTAACATACCTTGCCTCCTTGCTCTGGTTGGTCTGATAGGAAAAGACGAACCCTCAAATAACTTGGTCCTAAGCTATGTTACACAATAGTATTACGCAATAATTCTACGTATCAGTGATCATTGCAGAACCCATGTTCTCTCATCATTGGCCATCCCTTCAAACTTCTTTCCTCTCTTTCGAATAACAAAATTAAATGTGTAGAATGTGGGGTACATTTTCATCCATTTAATAATGTTGCCTGAGCATAAATAAATACAGAGAAATGCTTATTTGGGTTTTTTTTAATCAATTTTTACCTTTTTAAATGTTCTATTCTGTGCTGGCATTATTTTAAGGTGTATATCTCCTTGTGTTTTCTTTCTGAATAGAAAGATAGCCTAAAAATCTAAACCAAATCAATAAATAAGCAATGCAACTATAACAACTGTTTAAAAAGATGCAGAGGCCAAGTTCTTCTGCTTCTGTGTATGTTTGGAATCCTTTCAGCCTCTAGTTACTCCATAAATATCTTTTGAGGGTCCCTCCAGCCCTTTCCATCTAAACAGGCTGAGATAGGAGAGCCATCAATGTCATCTCCAAGGGAGAGAAGTGACATATGCTCCCTGAAAAACCACACTTGCCCAATTCTCAGTGTTCATTTAAAAAAACAAAAACACGACATGAGTCTCTATCAAGCAAAGTATATAATCATTTTGTCAGTCTGCTCATTTTGTAAGAATGTTTTGTTCTATTTTGTTCCTGCTTTTCAATGTTTTTAGCCAATGAATGAGCAGTTGTAGCGATGACTGACAAACTGAAGAAGAAAGGCCTTTTAATAAGTCTTCGCTAATGGGAAGTGATTGCTCTTGCCTTAAAAAAAATAGTAGAGAAATTCAGAATTTAAATATATCTGTGATTGGGCAGCCAGATGTCCATCCCAAAACAAAAGAAATGAGCTATTTCAGGAACCTGAAATATTCAAGTCTCTAAAAAGTCTCTAATTCAAGACTTTTTTTTTAAAAAAAGAAGAATAATTATAAGTAGTTATTCTGCCAGTACATGCCAATAAAATCCATTATGGTTGCAAATCTCAGAATATGTTCTGCAAGAATATAAGCACTTTAGCAAAACCACCAGTCCTAACTGGATCTTTGTTTGCATTTGTTTAAAGCTGGGATTTATTTAAAGATTGGAAAGGTTTCCAGTGTTTAAATGAATAATCAAACATGTGCCAACATTAAGCAATTCTCTTGCTTGCCTTATTTCCCACTCGTGATGTCATTACATAAATTAAGCCCTTGTTATTGGCTTATGTCATTTGCATGAGGGTGCTATTAATTGTGCAATGGCTCAATTTGCTGCAAATGATGTAATTTGCATCATTTTTGTAATTACAACATTGCATGAATTAATTAACTGCAAATGACATAATTTGATTTGGCCAACATTCAGGAACAATAAACATTCTTCCCTTAAATTGAGGTTTTACTGTGTGTTTCCTAAAGATGAGAGGCTAGGGCTAAGTTGAAAGCAAAATTAAATGGTCTTGTGTAATGTTTTGTACCATTTCATTCCAGCTTCCTGGAAAAAGTAAAGTAAATTATTTAGATTAATATCCTGCCTTTCCTTCCATAATAACTGTGATTAAGCATTTCTTGAATCTCCTTTTGGCTGCCCAAGAATACTTTTCTCTAATCTCATTGATTATTTTTTCTTCATCCTTGATTGATAGCAATTGGTACTTTGGAACTACAGAAATTCGCTTGGATTTCAATCTTTTAGATCCCAGTTTATCCTCTGAAAAAGAAGAGACGTGCACAATATATTACTTTTTCAAAGTTAGAGCTATCTCTCTTGCCCAGGCTATCCAATCATTATAATTACTAGAAATAGTGTTCTCCCTCTAGATATTTGGTTTTCCTTATAGCAATAGCACTTAGACTTATATATTGCTTCATAATATTTTACAGCCCTCTCTAAGCAGTTTACAGAGTCAGCATATTGCCGCCAATAATCTGGGTCCTCATTTTATCAATCTCAAAAGGATGGAAGGCTGAGTCAACCTTGAAATGGTCAGAATTGAACTGCTGACAGTTGGCAGAACTGCAATACTGCTTTCTAACCTCTGTGTCACCACGGCTCTTACAAAAATAGTCCTTGAATTATGATCTCAACTGAGTCCAGAATTATAAATCATGTCAGTCATTAAATGAGACACCATGTGATCCCCTTCCTTAACAACCACAATCCCTGCTCTCTCCATTGTGATTGTTAAGTGACTGCATGGGTGATTAAGCAGAGCGTACATATAGCCTGCCCTGGGCTCACAGGGCTTCCCCCACCTTTTGTTCTGCTTCCTGCCCTGCTGGGTCACACGTCCTTGTCCTTCCACATCACGCCTCAGTCCCCTTACCTTTTCTGAAGATTGCTTTTGGGGTGGAAGCAGCCCATTTTGGATCACGTGTGCAACTGGATGTGGAAGGTGCAGGAACAAGCACATAATGGTGGAGTAATAAGTGAAATCATGCAAACGTTATGCTAAAAATGCCAAGTAAGTCCATTTCTTCCCATTTCCCATTGCAAAAGACATTGCACCCAGATTCCATTGCCACTTCTGCAGAATACACACCAGGATTCCTAAGGTGAAAGGAGGAACCGTTGTTCACTAAGAGCTTCCGCTTTGTCTATGAAAGAAATGGTCCTTAATCTCTTCAGATAGAGTTAGGAGTGCCTCTAACTGAGCCGATGGTATTCAGCACATTGAATTAGATGGACAAGGATCTGCTTCAGTATAAAGACAGTGTCCTTTATTCCTACTCTAGAACATAGGACCCTTTTCTGGATACCTTAAGTGACATCATAAAATTTGTAAAAAGATGGTGGTGCCAAAAAACGAAATAATTACACGTATTTGAGGAAAATGCACATGAGATGTTATAGAAACAAACGTTGCACGCACAAGTTACAATCCCATCCTCTACTGTGCTTTCACAACTCCACCTGCAAAAATCTCCAAAATTCATGCAACTGTCCATGAGTTGGGAGAATGTTGGTATTTTAACCAAACATTCTCAATTATCAGCTAAAGAGTGACGATCTTTAGTGTTTTCAATGAGATCCAAATCCTATTCTCAGACAAATATAATAGTCACACATAGGTCTTTACTTGTAAGTCTTTCATCCTGTATTCTCATAGGACAAAGAAATGCTGGATTCAGTGAGATTCATTTCTGAGAGATGAGCATAAAATTGGATTATTAAAGTCTCTTCAATTTACATTCCAATAATGGTTTAAAAAAGAAGCAAGAATAGAGGAAATTTTCAGCTTTTGTGGACAGCAATATATTTGTATGCATGGTTACTTCCTACCTGTTGCTAAGAGCAACCACTTGCCTTCAAATTCTGTACTTCAGAGACTTGAGGCATTTTTTATAGAAGAAATAATGGAAAGCAAAAACAATATTCAGCCTGTCCTTAACCAATTGTTGACTTTAAAAGAAATTGTTTATTCTCCCTTGAAATGACTCTTCTCAGCATGCTGTCCCTATAAATAGAACAAAACTTTTTGAACTGTTTCTGTGGGTCTTATCAGATGATAAAACTGATCTATGAAGAAACAGCCTTTTCTCAGAGATTACTTCACAATGACAAATAAAGGATAATTGAAGCCTTTCTTTAAATATTATCACCAGACCCAAAGTACACAAACCTTCACAAACCTCTAGTCTGCTTTTTGTTTTATAGTAGCAAAAACCTTTAGCAGCTATAGCAAAAACAACAGGAGGACATTACCAAGGGAATATTGCTGGGCAGGAAAAAGATTTAGAAACAAAAATATTAAAAATTCAGAACTTGTTGATCCTGTCATTCATAGAAGCACTGGGATTGTGGTGACAAGAAGAACATCAGGAATGCTAGAAAAAGGGTTCTGTGAAATCTCCACTCAACAATGTTTCCCATTTTCATCACTGTCTTTGAAGAAAAGTAGAAACAGAAATGGTAGCAATGGCATTATCAGCCAGACAATACGACCAGTGAGAATCATTTTTGAAACACAGCTTCAGATGGACACTAGTTGAAGTTGGTGGATATTGGTCCTCTAGTATTCTGAAGACAGTCAGCCTAAGAAAAATGATATCTTTGGGATATTGTCTTTTTATCAAGTTGCCTAAAGTACTCTGAATAATGCAATAGCATCTTAAAGGACCTGATTTATATTGGAAGAATGAAAGCAAGAGAATTGGGTTGAATGAGTAAAATCCAAGGTATCTTTAACACATGTGATTAAGGACAGAAGTCTTCCATAAAAGGACAATTCAATACTATGTAAAGCTTACCCAAGAGTTTCTCTACCAAGATCTGTGATACCTCACTAAGCAGTTCATGCATACTCAATCATTACTTTGGCAATAATTGGTTTGCTGTAATCTCCACTCTCTTGGAAAATTAGACTAAATTTAAGTATTAAATTTCGGAATATAAGATGCACCAGAGTATAGGATACACCTTAGTTTTTGGGGAGGAAAATAAGAAAAAAAAGCTGATTGGCAGGTGGATCGGCCTCCCAGAATACCCCCAATTAGCTGTTCCCAGAGGTGAATTTTAGCAACAGGTTCCTTGGTTGTGAGCTCT